CAGTAGAGACCTGTTCTATACCTAAAAGTTCCAAGAGGTGCATTTCAGGAAAATAACTGTTTTAGCTGAGAAATAATTCATACCAGGTCTCACGTTGTATGTTACATTGAATGAAATAGGTTCTTGGTCCCCAGTTTTCTTTTTGGAATGATCTTCACCTCCTCATGACCAGCCTCCTTCACCTCCTCACCACCTTCCCTTTCCTCCCTCCTATTAACCACATTGCTTCTTACTACTGCCTGATGCTGTCTTCTTGTCTTCTGTCCATTGTTCTTCTGACCCCTGCTGCTACCTCCCTCCTCCCACAGCTGCCCAATTTGGCAGTGTCAGCACAGGGCCCAGCCTCATAAACCCGAAAAAGCCTATTAATTTAGGCTTCATGCCATGCCTCAACACCACTGGTGCATCCTGGTAGCTGGGAACCAAAACATACAGTGAATCTCAAAACTCTAAAGTGAAACTCAAACATTTCAGAATTAAAAACTGAATTGACAATTTCTAAGATAAATTTTTCTTGCCTGCCAAATAACTGAGTACCAATCCATCTGTACTTCTCACAGGAAATTCATAGGAATTTCAATGCTTTATTATCATACTCATGTTCAAGATGTTTCATCTTCACTTTGTGGATTCTGTGTAGCTTAGTTCTCTAACTCCTGCCTATTTAAGGTGTACCTACAGATTTCAATACATGCGAAAAGCATCACAATTTCACTGCACAACAAAACTTTCAGGGAAGCCTTGTGATGCACAAAAAAGATTTTTCTAAAAAGAAAGGGAAAATAATTATATATTTAAATGTTGAATGGACATATTTTTTCTAGACCGTATGATAAAAGTGGAAACCATTAATAACTTGACACCAGATATTAAGCAACATATTAAATATCAGTTTGTACTGGCAAACCTGATACTGTTTATATATTTTATATACCTTATTTTACCAACATCATTTGCTCTTCATTAACACTTTATTAATTCTTAATATAATTTTGATAACATAAAATTCACCACTACTTTCTCTGCCAAACAGTACTACTAAATACAGTAACTAATATGATACAATGGAAAATTGCTAAACAAAAAGATAGATCTCTAAGAAAATTTGATATAGATTTCCTGTAGTTTCCCTGCACTATTTTCAACCCTTCTCACAAGGGATACAGCAAAATGGCAATGAAAAGTGAATTTCCTGCTGTTACAGCTACTTTGGATGCTCATGCTTCTGTTCCTGTGGAGCCAGCTTGGATCAATTTCAAGAAAATAGCCTTTATCTACACTTTTGCACAGAAAATACATTTCTATTTTGAGGAGATGCAGTATTTTTCTGCTGTCGGCATTTTAATCTGCAGCATAACAGTGTTGTAACTTGCACATAGTTAAAGCATAGCATACTAGCAAGAGAAAGATTTACAAAGCAATTGAAGAAAATTATTTTTGCATTTTATAAATACGGTAGAGAAGCATCTAGTTCAGAATTCTTAATATCATTTATGCACTGTACATACACTGTTACATGCACCTAGCGCAGTTTTATCTGTTGAAGCAGAAACATAAAATTAACTGAAAATTAGCATCATCACAATATTGGGTCTGAAGACACTTGCATTGTCATTTGGAGAACATCCATGTCTTCGGAGCTCATCAGGACTGAAAGATTCTGTAGCAGTTAATCCTAATCCAGTTACCAGGAGTGACCATTCATTAGCATTATATTGAAGTTCGTGGCCTGCTCCTATCACTAGGAAGACACTGAAAAAAACTTATTTATTTGCCTTAGGATACAGACACTCAAGCAAATTAATGCACAAACCAGATTTGCTACTACTTTCTCACTGAGAAGTCACTAGTAATTGCAAAAGATGGTAAAGACACATGTATGTATTCATGCCATAGTTAATCCCATCAAGCCTTGTACCTAAATATTTTTAAAAACAAACAAAAACAAACAAAAAAAAAATTACACTTCAAGGGTGCAAGACCACACACTTGGTCAATTTGAAAGAAAACTTGCAGGGTACCATTGACATTTCGATCAGATAGTTTTCATTCTATTTAGAGATAGTCAACGCATGCATTCTCTGGCTTTTACTACTTCAAATTTGTTGTATATACATGGAAACCATTTTATAATCTGTATACTCCAAATAGACAAATCTATTCTAGAATTAAACAAATCATAACATTTCTGCAAGAAGAAACAATGTCAAAGAATAATAAAATCAAAAATTGAGCTCAGAATCTAGAAGACTCAAGAGCTGCTCAACATTACCCCAGCTAGGCCCTTGTTTCAGTGCAAATAAGTGTAAGGTGAGTAGGATGTGATGATGCATGAAAACAAACAGTTAATTCCTAAATTATAAGCCAGCATTTCTTTACCTGTTGTACATAAACACACTCTGCCAAAAGCATTGCTCCCATTTTGAATGCCAGGTCTCTAGAAGAGCAAAAATCACTGAGGTAAGCGTCATTCTTGATTCTAGAGTATGTAGCACTAGTTGTAACACAAAACACAGCAAAACAAGCAAACTTCTTCAGCTCACTTCATACAGTTTCAAACTAATTTCCTGATATTTAAAAGGAAAAATTGTAGAAATTAATTACGTTGATTCTTGCTTAGATGGGTCTCTTAATAAAGAGTTCAAGTAAAAAGTATAGTAGGTATAGTTTCTTCTCTATACACTCCATAAATCTATTTCTTCGACATATAATTGAAAAAGCCCCAAATTGCTATTGCTATCACGATAAACATAGGAAAGTTCTGCTTGACCTTTTATTAACATTTTTCTATACCAATATGGTTCTTTTGCTACAAGCACCCTAAGGAATTATGAAAAATACTTTTTTCTGTAGTTCAGCCCATGTGCACTTAATAGGCTCACAAATATAATACCATTATAAAAAAGAAAAACTGCCAACACTGCTAAAAAAATTGTCATAACACTAAATTATTATATAAATATAAAAGGAGTATATCTGTAAAATATTCACTCAATGAACATCCCAAGGTGATGATTTTGCTATGTTGTTTTTATTCCTGGGAGATCCATAACACATTTGGATATGCCACATGTCACCACATGAATCAGGCAGTTAATGCATGTGCTTTTTAGAAGCAGAGATGTCTTCCCAATAGAATGTGCTATAAAAAAATGTTGAGATTCTGCTGCTTTGTCTGATAGGCATAATTTAATGTCTTGCTTATAATGCTGCATTCTTAAGGAAAAATGTGCACTGTCCTATGCAGTTATTTACAACATATTACTAAATCTATGCAAATATATTTCCCTGAGCTTGGTATTACATAACAAAGGTCAACAATGTTTGAAATATTTTGAAACCACATTCCCAATATATTTTATATACAGCACTAATATCCAATGTACATACATATATCTTAATATATTTTCAGATATTTCTGTTCTTTTGAACTTGCTGTAGATTATTACAATAAATATCTGGTGGTTTTTGCTTTAAGACTATAGAAATTGGCCTATCAAGCTATGGTTTTTCATTAAAAATGCTACTTACAGAGTTGTTAACAATGCATCATTTAAATTACCACATAATATGCTAGCACTATTTAACAAAATAAATTCTAATAGTCAATATTCAATAATACAGATACTTATATGAGAAAAATTAAGAGAAAAAGGTTTTAAAGTTCTTCTTATGTGATTTCATAATTTTTACCACTGCATTTGTTTCCACTAACATTTAAACAGAAGATCCCAAATACTATTTATCTGTCCCATTTAGGGATAAATATTTCTCTTTTGTGAAAACTAGACATTGGATTCATTCACATATCCTTTTGTCATTTTATGTCCACATTATTCTTAACAGCAATTTTTTTTTCCTACAAATGAAATTGTACAAACAATTAGAAAAAACTTGTGTATTCAGAAAGCAGGAGTAGTAGTTTTAAATGAAGCAAATTTTTTTCCATTTTTTCTTTAGATTTTTTTGCTTTTATTTAAATGCATGTTAGGGACAGTATACATTTTCTCTCCAGAAACACGGATGCTTTTTTGAAATCCAGGACATATAAGCTAATATATTAAGATGTTCCTATGTACATCCAAGATCACTGAAATGCTGAACAGTTTGTATGTTGCCCTGCCAAGTAACAGACATTTTTCCAAATTTTACACACATAGGTTTTGAAAATAAAAGTTCTGAAATGTTTATATGTTATTATATGTTTGGGAAGGTTTTGCTTTATATGTTAATGAAATTATTCACCTCTTTCTTAAGTGAAAGCTGTATCATGTCATTTTAACAAAGAACTGAACAAATTTTAGTATGCATTAATAGTGCTACAGATCCACGTCTGAAAAGGATCCATAAATTTTTTGAAGGCTAAAAGGAATCACATGTCCTACCTAGTCTGACTTACTTTTGCCACAACAGTTCACCAAGCAACACCCAGATCAAATCCAGCATGCTGGATTGCTATAAGCAGTGAATAAAAACAGGTTAAAAGTAGCCCATATTACTGCAGAATAGGAAGAGCAATCTTTTTCCCCACATGCTTCCACTGCTAACAAATTTCTGACAGTCATTTTTCTGGGTAACGCAGAACGATATCCTATGAAGCAGATTGTTGAGTGTGAAGTATATCCTGCGTCAGCATTTACTATAGAGTTTAGCATGTACCAGCAGCCTTACATACTCCTAACTTGCAGGACCATCTCTAAAGTACCCTTAAATACTAGACATAGCATGTAATAAGTACCAAGCAACATTTAGCTGACTATTCTTACATTAAACCAAGGGAACCCAGAAGCATTTTAAAGCTGTTTCTGTAGTTGTATACCAAGGCCATAACCCAACTTCACCCCAAAAACAGAGGCCAGATAGTGGTCAGGGTACTGGGGAATGTCATGGCATGCCCTTGCATGTCTGTTTAGGCACTTAACCTTTCCTCATGTGTCTGCAGATAGAAGGAGATGCCACTCACTCCTACTGCCAGTAGGCGCGGAAGTAAGGATTCTCCATCACTCACACACCATTCAGGGTGATGCACACTCAGACTCTAAAGCTCAAGTCACAGCAGCAGATCAACCGGAAATTTAATACAGTACTCTGTCACCAACACTGGGTGTAAGCAGAAGGTATGAAGAAAACAGGGCCAGAATAAGATATTTCCCCCTAATATGTTCACTGCCTTCAGCTATTCTCAGAATGTCCTGTATTTTTCATCTCCATTTCTACCTGAAGCCCTCTCCTGCCACTCTGTATCTTCTCAAAGTATCACTCAGCATCTTACAGAAGATTTTGGACATTTAATGTCATTACTCTGTTGACGTTTTCATTCTCTCTGGGTACTGCTGGTTATTATTAATGTTTTAATTTCTAACATGTTTCAGTCACCTCTGATGGGTTTTTACTCTATTAGAGCACATCAGTTCTTGCCCATTTCATTTATTTTAGTATTAACCACTTCAATATTACCTATTCTTGTTTTTCACATAGTGACAAATTCATTTCAAAGAAGTTAATTACATAGTTGAATTGTAACTCTTAATTCCACCAAACTGTAAGAACTGTCATTCCCGAATTCTATTTGGGGCCATATTTTCCATAGAACAGTCATTTATTTTGTACATGTGATACAGTTTGCGTTTGCAAATCAAACAGTATAGTATGCATGTAATTACTTAATGAAAACTACACACAAAACCACTGTGTCTGCCAGTAAAATGGAACTTAATCCCGTTTTCAGCATACCTACTTCTTACATTTTCTGCAAGTCTTCCCACTTTCCCATGCTCATGAGTACTTTCTACTTCTCTTTCCTTGCTCAGCACTATCTACATTGCCTGTGGATCTGCTACATTTTCATTCATCTGAATTAGAAAATAACAAAATTTGGAAGCAATAATATACACACAAGTCTCTGTTTAGATCTAGGATAATCCTGGTCAAACATTGCTATTAAGTCCCACTGCATTTTTAAATACACCAAAATTGCATAAAATGCTGATAAAGGAAGTTGATTGTTAATACCGTGGTCCTATTAAGCAGTATCAATCAAGCATACTAACAAAAGAAAGCTCTCAAAAGCTAACACAAACTCAAGGGAAAGAAAAAAAAAAGGCAAGATTACAAAGGCAAGAATATATGAATAATGCCTACAACTGGCAGAAATTTATTATTAAATTGTTTCTGGGAAAAATGTTGTTTGCCTAGAAGAATAGATCCTTATTCAAGTTTGGAGTTAGCTCCTTAGCATTATCCTTCTCTCCTGTGTACATCAACATCACTGCAAAGTTTCTCAAGGCTCACTGTCTCCACTTAACAAAGGGCAATACTTCTTTTGATGTCAGGGAGACCTGCTAACAACACTCTGCATCTCTTCACATTGTTCACCCAGTTCTAAGAAATATTGGCAGTTCTTTTCTTACACTTCACACATCTCCCCACATGAATACACAACACAAAGGAAGCAATACAGAAGTGTTCAATGCATTAAGATCACCTTTCATAAACATCTGTACCTGAAAAAGACTACACCCACAGTAAAGCTGCTCACCTTGAGGTTTCTCTTTGATGCTTACTATTTCAGAAGAGGTGCAAAGGCCACCCATCTTTGAAGTTTGGGACAACTGCTTCCTTTCTCCTTCAATAGCAAATCTACTCTACCTCTTTTGACATTTCCACACTGATTTATATCTTAAAAAAATGGAAAAGGAGTTATAAAATTAGCAGAGATTCCAAGTCCTTCCAAATAAAGATATCCAGCAAACCTAAATAGTAGATGTTTTTCTAGAGAGCTTTAACCAACATCATTGGAAGCAACAGACTGCCTTAAGATAGGAAACTATAACATCCAGATTCTCTAAGATTAAATCTGCCAAACATGAACTTTTCATATGTTCATATTGTTCATATGTTCAACATATTAGCAAACAGTTAACCTTGTTCATTTGCTGGTAAAGGTATAGTCACCATACTCTAGCAGTATATTTAAATAGTGAGTCACTTTCATATTATACTTCAATAGAAAACTAATTTAGCCAACTAATCTTGTTTATTTCCTAAATATTGTTAGTTTCTATCAATCAGATGATTTTTCCAGACACTTACATAACAAGCATTAAAAAGATACATTTAGCAGCTACAATTGTTAACATAACAAAGGCTAGAGAATCCAGAGGTTATTGCATTCCCCCAAAAGTACTTAAATAATAGCCTAAAATCTGAAGAATTACTTTAATACTTCAATAAAAATAACCCAATTCAAAACATTTTCAAGGAAACAGAGCTCCTTGCTCTAGGCTACCAAATAATGGCTGAAAGAAAGTATATAGCTTGTCACTTCTGATTAGAGAACTGTGCCTCTGTGCTTTGAATGAGAGGCATGTCTGGTAATAGGAAGTGCAGATATTAAATTTAATAAAATAACATGGAATACGATATATATGAAACTTGACCAAGTATAGCACAAAATGCAACATACATTACCCTGTTCAGTCAACTACTGTGGCCTAGCATCTAATGACAGACTTAATTTCTATTTTCCAAGGAGAATACCACAAAAATACAATTTTCAGATTATACAAATATTTTATCAGACCATACAAAAAATGTAACCAAAATTGCCTTACATATCTACATGAATACATAACAATATTAGAAACTAGCTAGACTACAAAATGCTCAGCCTTAAATTCCACAGGAAGACATTAGGCCTTGTAAATAATTAGCTGCAAAGACCCTGATGCTAATACATCACGGCATCATATGACCCACAGCATATTTCTTTCTTTCCAGGTTTAAGGATTCCTCCATTTGGGGAGGGGGGGGGGGTTGGGTTTGTTGTTTTTTTTTTTAAGCACAATCAGAACTCAGCATTTACATACTGTTTATGAAGAAGGAAGAGCCTTATCTCTGTTTATGCCTTACTTCTAGCATTCCAATGCAAATCATAACAGCTTTGTCCTTCAATACATTAACCCTCAGCATATATTTTCACAATTAAATAACAATCTCCGTATAGTACTTTCCATTCCCTCTCTAACACAGAACTATGCTACCTGTGATATGGCACATAAGGGATTTTAAAACAATTCCAAGAGCTAATCCCAGTAAACCCAGAATTAAAGTTCTTGTTTTCATATTTCACTTTCAAAATATTTAGAACTTTGACAGATATGACATTATGTTTTCATTAAAACAGCTGATTTCAAAATGCTGCACTGTGCAAAAACACCATAAACTGTTTATGATGAACTGCCACAGTCTTAATTAAAACAATAAATCCAGTGCACAATATTTGTGCAGCCTCTGGTTTGACCTTTGCCTCTTGCTATCCACTACCAAAGCTGCTGCCTCATTCTGTGCACCAGATGTAGAAGGTTTTAAACCACGATCTGAAAGGCAGTAAAGATAAAATAAGAGAAAATGTGCCATTACTCTTTGCAGTTATGATTAATTCAGTTCATATTTTACAATCTGGTTATGGAGTAAAACTGCAGACTTTACATCAAGTATTTGCCATTCAATATACCAAATGTATAAAAACGCCTGATACTTTAGAAAATGGAACAAAGCTAATTCACAACCACCACATGAAGGACAGAAATAGGAATAATAACAAAAGGACAGTAATTAGCTATCCATCTAAAATAATGAAGCTATCTCAGCCACTTGATGGTCAGTCTTCGCAACAAATTCATCTGTTAGAACAAAACAAGCTAATGCTTTCCCTTATCTCTCTACCAATTGATCTTAGATTAAAATATCCTTTAAAATTATCACGTCTCCTCCAGAAACAGAAACTAAAGGTTATTAATTACTATGGCATGCTGTAATGATCTCAGGTTTGTTGTGTTTTTCTGGAAACAAAGTCAAACACAGAAACAACTCAAAGACCTAAGTACAGTAAGTAAGCTAGGATCCTGAAGTACAAGCTGCTGTAGGCAGAAATAGTACAGAAAAGATGACGAATTGAGAACTCCTCATTCTGAAAATGTTTATACATTTATCAAATCACTTCTATAATCCACTAGCTTCATATACAGTAATGCCTACAAGAGCAAACATCATGGTCTGCTTTGTAGAGTCATATGTTCATTGTATACATAATATTTTCCATTTCTGTCAAAAGAAATCAGTTGAACAAATGAAGCTAATGTAGTTCATGAACACTTTTCAGGGAAATTGGCATAAAAAAAATATTTACTTCCTTAAAATGTAAAGGAAATACTTCCCTTTGGAAGGTATGTAGCCGAAAAAAAACAAATTTTGGATTCAAATGCAAGTCCACTCATGCTCTAAGAAGTTCAAGCTTCCTTTCACAGAGCTCTAGAGAATGAGAACCTTATTTTCCTAGTTCTTAGTTTTGCCCAGAGTCAGAAACAAAAACCGCTCCTCAAAGTTATTTGACACACATCATTCTTCAGTTGACAGGACACTAAGCGTTTGAGAAGGTAGGGGGTAACAGTAATTTGGCTTTGGGTGTTTTTTGTTGTTCTTCCCCATTTCAGTTACATATTAAGAAATGAAAAAAAAAGAAGGAACATAAACATGAAATTTTCTCCATGTTTGGTTCCTTACACAGTATTCATTAAGCACTAAAAAAATGTATTTAAAATGCATTCAAAATTCATTATGCATTCCTGTACAAAGCAGTGTATCACTTTTGATAATGTATCACTAATCTATACAGTGATACTAATCCATATAATGATATTATTAATCCATATATGATACTAATGTATCACTACATCATTCACAGACAACACGAAAGTTCAAAACCACAAAAGTTTAAATACAATTAATGCATTCTGCAGGGACACTGCAGGGTGTCAACAGGGAAAACCACACATGTATCTAGCTTCCTGCCTACTAGGAAATTGGAAAACACATTAAAGAAGGCAAGGCATAAAAAAAAAAAAAAAAAGCACATCATTAAGAACTCTATTCTCTTTGTTAATATTAGTACCTATTTCCCTGGGAAAAAAAAAAAAAAGAAAACCCCACGTAAAAAAATTTCAACGCCTCAAAAATATCTTCCAAACATTTCTTTAGAAGAAAACCAGGGAAAACGCAATTACTGAAGACTTCAATATTTCTGTCCTTCTGTGACTCTCCCCACTTACACTTAGGGAGAATACTATAAAAAAAAGTTCACAGAGAATAAGGGTTTTTTAAATTAGAAATGGATTATACTTAATGAAGGTGTATTTTACTACTAGAGCTTTACTTGCTTTGTTTGCATTATCACAGGTCCCACAGAAGTAAGTCTAAAAAAACCTGTGCAAAATGAATTACATGAATTATGAAAAGACCCAAGAATCTTTGAATTTTAGACCCCACTCAGGCAGATACTTCTTCCAGCAGCTTTTCCAGAGTCTAGGATTTTCCTGCTTTCCATATTTCTATCTAAAGATGCTGGGGAAAGCTACCATGCTTGTGCAACTTTTGAAATTGTTAACTAATTTCTGCAAAGCATGAAATATTCTTACAGATTAAGTATGCAACAGGAAAAGCTTACGCACTTTCATCTGTGATATACGCAGTACCACTGTTTTCAAAAACAGTAACCAAGGAGGGAAGTATTTGCACCTTTTACATTTACCTGAATCCTACTGTATAAATATGAAGTCTCTTTTAAGTGCTGCAAATTCCTCTTCATTTTCTTGTTGCTTCATATGAATGTATACCATGTTTTAATCAGGTGTCGCTATCCAAAAAATTAAGAATCTTGCTAGCTCATTCCTTTACAAATACACATACTCTGCATATTGCAGATGGTAGGAAGAAGCTTAACTGCTAAAATGTGTCCACCATGACATGCCACAATTTAAGTATAATAGATGATGAAATCCAGTCAGAAAACATTACACTTTTTTATGCTGCCAATCATAAAAGTTATATTTCCTTGAACGTTCAGCTCTTTACAAGAAATTATTACAGAAGGTCAAAGAAGGGGAGGGGGAAATTCCTAAGCTTCTTGACTATAAAAGAAATCTAAACACTGTAAGGAACCACAAAAAAAAAAACCCTGAATTCACAAAGGAAACAAAGAACAATTATTTTCTGCATTATAAAATCTCAAATGTTATGCCAGTCTCATGACAATAGTACACCCAATTTGTGACGTAAAATTGTTCAGTCTACCTACTGATCACTCTTCCATAGCTTTCGTATTCAAAGATGAGCAAAAGCCTAACCCATCACCAAATAGCCACTATTGTATCAAACAATCCTTTCTAAATCTTTCACACAAAAAAGCATGATTTGTATACCAGACATATATATTTATAAACTCTATGCACATACCTCTCCTGTCATAAAGGACTGAATGTTTTTCAAATGCAGGCAGGAAAACAAGAACACAGAAAATTCACTGGAATTGCTACAACTGCTGAACTGAGAAACACCCTTATAAATGATTTCCCCTAGGTGGTTTGTGATTGCAGCACCAGTTGCATTTACTTAGTTTAACAAGGTTCTGTAGCAAGTGTTAGGGAAGAGAGAAATGTTGGGGTAGAGGCAGTTGATGCAACTGAAGATTAAGACTTAAAAAAAAAAAAAAACACTAACAACAAAATCATCATGACATCTTTTTACTCCTTTAAGTAAGAAAGAAAGAAAGATTCTGTGAGTCAGGTTTGGAACTGGGTTACTGTTATTTCACCTGTAATTTTTCAAATGTCCTTTCTGTT